CCACATATTAGTATCATAGGACTTTATAGGTCACCAAGAGTACCAGTGATGCAATTATGCCAAGAATTGAGAGAAGTTTTTGATAAACTGTCAACTCGTGACAATATAGTTATCAGTGACTTTAATATTAACTGGTTTAATGAAACACAAAGAGCACCTCTTCAACATCTGTTTGCAAGAAATAATTACAGACAACTTGTATCCTGTTCGACTACTGATAACAACACTTGTATAGACCATATATATACTAATCTACCAGAAACACACATTGATTTCCTTATTTTAGAGACATACTTTTCTGATCACAAAGGTATCTGTGCATTGGTCAATAGTTTTTAAACAAACAACTTGCAAGCATTCGCAAGCATACTTAAGATGAGAATCCTTTATTGGTCATTATTGCTTATCCTAACAGGTAACAATAATTACATTTTCAGAAGTTTTTACTGATTCATTAACCAATGCCAAAAATATGTGGTCTTAATCCAGAATTTCAGTTTATAGTAGGAAATTGCTGCATTAATATTGTTTCCAACTTGTAAATGCACAATATTGCTTTTACAGTTTACTTGGTGCAATCAACTCACAAAATGGATAAAGCACCTACTGATAACTCCAGGTAAGTAAAAACATCTTTTGATTTTCTGTTTTTCTCAAATCAGAATTTTTCCCTCATGTATTTAAAATTAAATGGCTTAATTAAGATCCAAATGATCCTTATTTCCCCTAGCACCAAAGCAAGTAATTCAGGAGAAGGTAAGCACAGTATTATGTCACCTTTAATATGACGCTTGAAGATATTAATAAATTTAAAACATGTTCAACCACACCAAAAATGATAAATCAGAGCCATTTTTCCATTTTAATGTTTGTTGATTTGTTTTTTTTCTTTTACGTAAAAACCATAGTAATTTACCTCATACATTGCAGACGCTATCGGTCCTCTCCTTGGCTAAGAACCTAATGTGAACTCTGGAAATCAGTGCAACTTTCAAATTACTCCTTAATCTGCTGGAGGATTATTCACTAATCTGTAGGTTGTGCACACAAAGCATGATTTCCAAACAATTGCCAGCTTTATAAACATTTGCAATGCCACTGACAGGTTTTCCCCTCTAATATAAACGTTATGTTTTGCAGATTCTTCTCTTGAGGGCTATGTACATTTACTAAGTCCCATACAATCTTCCAGGAAAACAAAGACAAAGTACTTCAACTTCAAACTACAAACGGCAGAAACTGATAGTGTTCGCCTGGTATGTTATTCACCTGAAAAAAGAGTCAACCTTCAACAGGCTTTTCAAAACAAATCCCCTATTAAAATTCACGGTGTAAAACGAAGCAAAACAAAGGAAGATGAATATTCCATTGCCAAGGCAGCCAAGATTGCTCCTTCTGATGTGGAATTTCCATACAACAAAGCAGTTGCAAGCCAAGTCTCTACAGTTGAAGATTGTCTCTCTGCCAGCCTGTACGACAAAGTTGACATTAAGGTGAAAGTTGTTACTAAATCAGAAAACAAGCAACGAGTTGTACACAGAGAAAAAACAAAGTAAAGGGTAGAATGCCTTGTTGCAGATCACACAGAATCAATCAAACTTATTTTATAGGAAGATGCAATTGAAAAAGTACACAGTAGCAAAAGTTACCACTTTCAAAACCTGATGGTCCACATATTCGATGATAAAAAGTATCTCAATACCAATGAGTTAACAGTGATAGACGAAATTGATGGCATACAGGACATTAATTTGTCATCACCTACCCTGGAAGACAACCTCGTCACAGCAAAGTGTGTTGGAATCGATATCAAAAAAAGCTCCTTGTGTTTTGTTTGTAACAGCTCCTTAGATACTCAGGAAACAACTGAAACAACTGAAGAAACCATAGTAGTAAAGGTTGCCAGTATAGCGGAGAACCAATCAGAATCGAGTATTTGAAAAATGGACCAATAAGATTGCAGTATTTTCACATTCCATTCTAGCGCCATTTTGAATACCGCGGAGGCGCCTGAGCACTAGTTTAAGAAAAAAACGATGGGGCTAAATCAACACCTCATGAAATAATAATGTAAAATAAAGTATTTTAATTACAAATGCAGACCTCTTTTAGCTGCGGTAATATGACCCGACAATTTCTCCATGTAAGATTTTGGACCAGGAAGTGCATGAATGGCTGCGACCATTTTATCATCAGCTTTCCATTTATCTTGGATGTGTCTGGCTTTAGAGTAGTCGATATCATGTTGTTTTGCAATTCTGTCCAATCGGTTGATACCTGGATCACCACGTGCGAGTCGTTTTTTTAAGAATGTTCCAGGACCGAGATATTGATATCTTTTTTTCTTTTTGAATGAATAAGGATGAAATTCAACTCCTAACTTTTCAATGGATTTTTGTAAGTCAAATTTACCACATCTTTGTCTTCTTTTTCTTCTTCTTTTCTTTGGTTTACGTTGCGTATGTCGTTTTCCAGCCGTGCTAGGCTTTCAATCTTGAAAAAGAATGGGGATAGAGTGGTGTTTTTGAACCTGTTTATATACTCGAGAGAGAAATAAGAGACGATTTTTTTATGATAAAGAACGTTTTTAATTATCATTACACATGCTTCGAAAACCATGATATACAGCTTGCCCCCAGGGATTGTGGGTAGCTTCTCGAACAAAATCTAACATGGATCTTACGTAATATCTTTGATTCGAAAGTTCGATATGAAGATTAGCAATTTTCTGTGCGTATTCTTTTTTCAGGTTGATGTAATCATCTCTCAGTTTTTTTTTAAACTTTTTTTGGAAGTTTTTTCTTGATACTTCTTGTCATTGTAACCAGCTTGTCCACTGCCTTTCGAAGGGGTTTATGTCTGATTGTGGTAGTTTATCTGGAGGTTGAAGCATGTGATACTTTTTGATGATACAGTGTTGATACCACAGCTGAATTTTCCAGTGATTCACAGTTTCTTTGTTGGGTTGAGCTGTTTGATCGAAATTTATTCTGAACATAGTTGTGTCTTTTTTTCCAGGACTAAAGAGAAAATAGGAGTGTTTTATGTTGCTTAGGGTTAGTAGTTAGGCAGTAGATTTGAAGATCAATGTCCATGACGTTGTGATTTATATACCACGATTTGAGCTGCACTTATAGCCGTAGGGAAATGATTGAAGGCTGTCCATTTCCATGACTCGTTTATCAAAAACGAGTTTGTATTTTTTGTCTTGTGACAATGTTTTGATGGTTTTGGTGGCTGGACATCTTGCGATTTTGTGTGGATTTTTGAGGGTTAATGTGCGTGGTTCATCTTTGGGAAGTAGAATTTCATTCAATACTAGATCTTTCATGTTACTGAAGTGGAGGATTTTCTGTCCTCGTTCGTTAAGAGTCGGTATTAGCGATTCTGCGGGTTTCTGAGTGTAGATGATGGAATCTGTATCGAAATACAGGACTCTTTGTTGCAAGATGTCTAAGGCATTGTAAAGCTTGAGTTGGGCGTAACTTGTGGTGAAACAAGCTACAAAGATGTTCACATTGGTTTGAACTGGATCACAATCGTCTTGAAACGAATGAAAGATTTCAATCATGTGATGGTTAACAATTTTGATTCTATGAATCACTTGCTGATCGTCTTTGATGATTTGGAAAAATTCTGACGGTTTCGTACATGTGGTGACTTGAGTTTGATTGGGGTGTTGCCCAAACTTTCCCCAAAAGGAATTCAGCATCAATTTGGCCAGGGAGCGCAGACCTGGGTTCTTTTCAACTTTATCATAGTCCAATCGGATGCCTTCATGCTCTTCATATTGTTGCAAATAGTTCCTCTTTTTTTCTTCCGTGTCGCATTCTGCGGACCACCCCGAAGCCTCTTGCTTGATCTTCATGAATGTTTTTATGTAGATCTGTTCGGAAAACACCTGAGACATCTGTAATAGAAGCATCCTTGGAATTTGTACACGGTATGAGTTTGTTCATCGTACCCATCGACGAGAAAACTTTTTGTTCCATGCATCAATGCCCTTTCACCTCTATTCCCCACGTGAGTAATTTGGGGTAAGAGATCGGATTTCACAGGTTTGTTTTCTTCCCAATAGAGCCATTTCAATGCAGCATGGGATTGATTGTGTTTGGGTCGCCATCCGCGCACCGGTTCTACTGTGATTTTATGTGCTGTACCATCTGAGAATTTCCTCTTTACGTGCTGGAGACATACCGTCTAGATCATAGTAATACTTGTCTGGCATGTATCCTGCATACTTCTGATTTTCTTGAATGTTGAAGAAATGGGGAAAAAATCCTTTCTTTAGTTCGTTGATTCTAAATGTTTCAGGGAAGTTGGACAAAGCCATTTGAAAAAAGTTCATGGAGTCAATGAATTTGACATTGGGAATGTCTAGGCTCAAAATGTTGGCTCCATTCACAATTTGAGAGATTAGTCACGTGCTGCTTGTATAGTTCTTCAAGTATGAAATATCCGTCATACCCTTTTGAAGTTATGTTAATCTTTTGCCACGTCCTATGAGCCGTCACTTTGAAAAGTATGTAAGTAGCTACGACTTCAGGAGGAAAATGACATTTAAGTAACCTAGACCTAAGACCGATATGGTCAAGAAATCATGCTCATACAAGTCAATTACTCGGTGGAACGCTCTGGAAAATCAAATGAGATCAATTCAAGACGTTGACGCTTTTAAAAAGTCACTCAAGTGTATTTTTAAGCCACGTATGTTATAATGATGTACTATGTAGAATTTTTATTGTTGAAAATTATGTAGAAATCTTACATTAGTCTTCTTATAATTAGTTAGGAATTTAGTTTTATTGGATTTAGTTAGGAATTTAGTTTTATTGTCCGTACACGACCACATCAGCTTTTGCTGAATTTTTTATCGTGTTTAAATAAATGCTGTTGTTGTTGTTGTTGTTGTTGTTATGTGCCACCACAATTACTTTTTCTACATTTGGTTGATTGGCTACGGTGTGAACCCACTGTAGGAATTCGTATATGCAATGTTCACCTTTGAAGGTGAATTGCCCATCATTTTGATCAGTTTCTGCACATACGAGATTAGCCACGTGGTCTCCGGCCTCTTGCTGGGCTTCAATATCGAAATAAACGAACACGGTGTGTTGTGGCTCTTCGTTTTTTCTTTTGCGTTTTTTTCATATGTGACGGGTTGGAGATAACTGTGTTGTAAAATATTGACTTCTTTTGAACAGCTTGGATATTTTTGTAAGCCGCAATGTTTCATGTGTTCTTGCACAGAGGATGAAAACATGTGTAAACAAGTGGAACAATTTTTGTGTGATTTACACACGTTTTTTTCACCATGTGCAACTAGCTGTCCGTTGGGTTTACAAGTGAAATGATTTAGCTGGCATGTGACTCCGTAGAAGTGGCGTCCACAATCCTTGCACGGTAGATCGGGTTTGTCGCTTTGCTTGAATAGTTCATAATCAGGACAGCTGGATTGAAGACAGGCGCGACATTTAGTTTTGTGGCACGAGTGATGTTCATAGTCTTCATTAAAATAGGCTTTTTCACATTGAAGGCAATAATAATTCGAATTAAAAAACCCTGGGAGTTTAGTAATGACATCGATGTCCATCATGCATCAATAGTTTAATCTGCTTGTTGCTTTGCGGTCCTTTGTGAACAATAGAATGCCCATGTTCTGCAGATGTGACAATGAACTGATACTCATCTAGGATTATTTAAAAAAGTTTTATTTGATCAAGCCCACAAGGTCCGATGGGTACACATGCTTCTTCATGTAGTTCTCGCGCCAAAGTTTCTTGTAGGTGGGAGCGAGAATCTTTGATGGTTTTTACTCGTGGATCTTCATCAGTAATGGCTTTAGCAACAACAATGGCTCTGGTGCAGCAAAGTTCATCATCACTGGTAATCCGTACAGCGGTTCGTTTGGACTTGAGTAATTTTCCATAATTATCTGACCTGAAGCAGCACCGTTTTCGTTTCCCTGTAAGGAGACCTCTTCCAGGTGGTGGCATGGTGATATGAGTGACGTCTAGTTGTAGAGTGTCATCAATTTCAAAGTTTTCATTGAAATTGAGTAGATTTGAGATGTTAGCAAGAACTTGTCTTGAAGCACCTAATGGGTCATGCCATTGTTCTACAGAAACATTCGCTGAGGTGTGAGAATTTCTTAATCTGTTGCTTCCGCGATAGATCTGGATGCGGTCATGATCTGGTAATCCATGTATCAATTCATGGATGCTTCTGGCAAGTCCTTCTTCAAAGGCACATATGATATTTCCATGGCCTGTTGGAAAGGTATCTTTTGGGTTTTGCAATTTCAGGTGATAAGAATTACGCTTGATAACGTAACTCTTCCCTTTCTTTTCTTTGAACTGGGTTAGTTTGAAATTAAAGTATCCATCATGGGTTGAAGCTGCTTAAGCACCACCACCACTTTGTTGTCCAGTTCGTTCAAGATGTTCTACAACTCTTAGTAATTCATCATCTGGAATATCTTCTTCCTCTTCTTCTTCTCTTTCTTGCTGCTTATTCATGGTTGGAAAAAAACTGATGAATTCCACCAACAGATGTCTCGTATTTATAGCATACAACAAATAGTATGGTGTCAGCTTATCACGCGTACAATGGTGTCAGCTTATCATGCGTACATGTCATCTCACTATATAAGAGAAATCGTTCTGCCATGTTTTTCACTTACCGAATGGATAACATGATCTTGTTATGCTGCATGGTTCTTATCGGTTTACCTACCATCTTTTTCATTTCGTATTGTATCAACACAAAAAGTGTTGCTGTTGTTTCGGTGGCGATGGCAAATGGTAGTGTGTTGCTAGGGTGGCAGAGAGTGGTTTTACATGAGAGTCAATGCCAGTACCTTTCTCCATTGAAGGAAAATGGAGTGAATTGCGGCATCAAAAGAAGTGCAGGGAGTGATTACACCATGGATGAAGTGGCCGCTTACAATGAGGAGTATGATAGCCAATCCAGTATGATCATGCAAGGTGCTCGCAATACTGCAGATTATGTGACCAGAAGACACGTTAATATGGCCATCAAATTGGTGTATCAACTACAATCAGACGAAGAAAATTGGACTCCCTGGCCAGATCTACTAGAACATTATCACGAGGTCCAAGCTAAGAGTTTTTACAACATTGTTGAGCGCATGGAAGAAAATCTACCCATTCAACCACCAGTGGCTTTTGCTATTTACAAGACGTTTTCTATGATTGTACAGGGTTGATAAGATTCACGCGTATCATTTACAACACAAAAAAGCTATTTCGAAACATAAGTATAGCAAACATTATGTATACCCTAATCAAACTACATCATACTTTGAATAAAAAACGTTGTTATTTACATGAAAAAAAGAATGATTGTTTCTTTTTTAAAACCTCCCATATTCTTTGAGAGATTTTTGTAGTTGCTCGTTTTTCTTCGTAAACCTCACATCAGCCCATTGGAAGAATTGGCATCCACCATTATTGCGGCATGCAAAAAAGGGTCTTCCTTCGTTGGAGGCTGATTTGCTTACTTTGAGAGAGGCCTGTTTGTTACATTCACACATGACTAATCCTTTGAGTTTCCTGTACTCATCGCAAACTTTCCTGTTGAGTACGCTCATGTAGCTGTTTGGCTCCTTTCTGTGCATGAACAGTCCACACTCCTGGGTGAAGGGACATTTCACGTACCATTCCATGTCGGACACTGCCTGGAACAACTCCAAATTGCAATTATGAAAGACATATGTTGAGATCATATTTTTTTTTCATCCATGACGGTGATCGATGTGGGTGAAACGGATGATCCAGTGGAAGTGGATGGGGAAATATCAAACCTCATTTCTGTCAGCAATTCATCAGGTGCAAAATTGAATGTAGGTGATAAAGTGATGCTGAGCAAGGTGCACAGAACCTTTAAGAAAGGGTATTTACCAAGATGGACAGAAGAAATATTATAGTGGATAGAGTATTGGATTCCTATGTACCATCATACAAGATCAAAGAATACGATGGAACACCTGTCAAGGGTACATTTTACGAAGAAGAATTACAAAAAGTCGACATGGGTGATAAAGACACGTTTTTAGAATTGCAAAAGTATTAAAGAGGAAAGACGGTAAAGCATTAGTCAGTTGGAAAGGTTGGCCATCCAAATATGACAGTTGGATAAATGAAAAAGAAATAACAGACTTGTAAAAAATGTTTTATCTAACTCTTCCTAGCAATGCCAATCCTATCACATTTCCAGAGAACACTCCAGGTAAATTCAAGGTGAGATTACCGAAGGAAATCCTTTTACCAGAAAGTGATTGGGAAGTGGCTTTGGCGAGCATTACCTTTCAGAGTACTTTGGATACGGTGATTCATGGTAATGCGAATTACAAGAATTTGTTAGTAACGGATTTTATGTGCGGTTTTGTTTTGGACATGGAAGGAATGGAAGATGGTGCTAAATTTCCTATAACGAACAAAGAGTATTTCTTAAGTGGATCTATGATGAAGTATGAATATACAAAGGGGATGACTACCCCTAGAAATGGGATAGATTTTTGGAATAGAATGATTGGATTACTCAACTATCGTTTACATAGCAGAATTAAAAGTGGCATGCAAAGCTACATAAAAGAGGATAAAGATTTTCAAACTTAACGTCCTCGATGGCCTGTATTCAGTTGGCAAAATGTCGGTGGTGTTTACAGACTGTTTATAGACAATTCAGGAATCGATGGAAAATATAGATCTGAAATTGAAAATCAGTTTTACATCCATCTAGACGTTGCTAAAGCATTCAAACTGGTGATTCCTAAAAACGGATCTGCTAAACCTGAAGATAAAGGGTATCAATTAAGTAGTCTTGTATCTGCAAAACATTTCAGAGATCCCGCAAGTACCACTGTAAGCTTGGGAGGTGGTGAACATAGATTATGGACTATAATCGACGCTAAAGAGACTGGATTCAAACTGGAAGGAGTTACGAGCAAATCATTGTTTTTACATTTACAGGCTTCTGTCGATTGGTACATTTACGAATTGGGTCATGCCTACCACAGTCCATTACATCAAAAACGACCTTTGTACATCTACACAGATCTTGTACAGACACAGATCATGGGTAAATCAGAAACTGATCTTTTGAGAGACGTCGAATACGACGGATCTAATAGTGGAAACATTGAAAAAAACACTTACAAACCCTACAATTTACAATTCATACCCCTAAGAAAAAACACGTTTGATACTGTGGAACTTGGAATTAGCGAAGTAGATGGAACTCAAACTCAGTTTTTGAGAGTAAGAAATGAACCCACTGTAGTAACGCTGTGTTTTAAAAGACATGGTAAGACATTACCTATCAATGCAAGTCAGGTTACTTGTCCTGGAAATACAGTCAGTAACTACACAGTAAAACTACCTAAAAATATATATCTACCAGAAAGTGATTGGGAAGTGGCACTGGCTAGTATTTCTTTTCCGGATTTGATAAGTCAAGTGGCAGAAAGCGAGGATGCGACATACGATTTGAAAACTCGCAAACATATGATCATGAATTACAAAATGATTTGTTAGGTTCTATTCATTGACGATAAACCAATACCGGTGAAAAAAGATGGAAAAAACCTCAAGTATCCGTAATGTAGCGAAAAAAAACTTTAGAATTCATGTTTTGTTTCCATATATAATTCAATCATTGCAGCTTTGTTTATTTTTATGATCGTTTTTTATCGTTCCATTGTTCATGTTTTTAATCATTAATCGGAGCTTATTGTACCATGTGATTTAGCTATCAATCTAGCTTAAATAAGGAATCGCTTGCGTAACCACTCAGCGATCGGAGTATTCAGTATCGGAGTAGTTGGAGTTTTCCTTTTGGAGTCACCGGAGTTGCCTTTTTGGAGTTATTTGCTCACCTTTCTTTTTACGCAGGATCAGACGTGAGTTACCATTGTACATATTGATTGCTTTTTGCCTTTCTTGATTTCTATTGTGCTTGTAATTTCTTTACCTTTGTTTCTAATTACACAATCATAATTTGCTACGCAGTTTTCACCGCATGTGTGCGATATTTGGTTTGTGAATAAAGCTGAGAAAATCAAGTTTTGCATGCTGTGGTTGACACATACCGTTCCCTACACTTGGGTACGCAACAGACAAAGATGGAAATACTCTGTATTACCATAAGGTAGGTGGTCCTGTGAGATTGGATTTGGAGGAATCGGGCACGAAATTTCCCAAATCCATACAAAGCGGATATGAAATTTGGACTCGTATGACGAATGTACTCACGGATCAGATGTATCGCATGTTTGAGGATGTCAACGATATCAGAGAAGGTCAAGGAAAGAGACTTGCAGATTGGAAGAGTGCTGTTATTAAAAAGGGGCATCACCCTTATTTCGAATGGGTCCCAAATGCCGACAGTTACGATCTCAAGATCAATAATGAAAACGTGCAATACTTGGACGTTTTCAACAATACAGAACAAACATCTTCTGGACCGGTAAATTATTTTCTGGAAGAATTGATCATACAGTTTTTGAATGAAAATTACGTAGACATTGAATTGGAATTGGCCAAAAGGTTCCACATAGTGAAACAGGTTCAAAAAGATGGAAAAACAGAGACAAACTTGACAAGTAGCCTTAGAAAAGAACATTTTAGAGATCCCATCTTAGGAAAAGCAGGACAGGATCCTAAAGCGGCTGGAAGTAGTAATAGCATGGCGGTATAGCGTAAAGCCAATCAGAATCGAGTATTTCGATCACGTGGTACAAATGGACCAATCAGAAAGCCGGATTTTCACATCCATTCTGATGACGTCACAAATACCGAGTGGGCGCCTGAGCAGTAGTCTAATGGGAAAAAGCGGTTTGCAAGTGCGCGTCTGGGATTTGCCATTAGACTGATTTAGCAACAGGACGTGATACCTGAAGATGCGGCTCCTTGACCGTGATCGGGGACGGGAGTACTGGAACTGACGTTGCGTGATACTTTGGCTTTAGTGCCAAATACAAACGAGACGCGTACGCGCACTTGTAAACATGGCGGCAGGCTATGGCCTCCAAAGTGTTCGAGACGTTTTGCTAGTGCCTTATTTCGACGATGTCATTGATAATGAGGAATTTACGCTTTTTTACGAAAAAAACTATGCAAGAGGAATATTTCCATATTGGAAGTATGACAAATTCGATTTGGATGATTGGGATGAAGAGGAATGTAAAGTCAAGTTGAGATTCGACAAATCTGACCTTGCTGTCCTGCTCCATGCATTGAGATTTCCCGATAGATTTGTTTGTTCTCAGAGGGCTGTCTGTTCCGGAATGGAAGGCCTTTGCATCTTGTTAAAACGACTTCCTTTTCCTTGTAGATTTACTGATATGGTGATGCGTTTTGGCAGGTATCTAACTGAACTTTGTTTGATCTTCAATCACGTTTTAGACTTTGTTTACCAGACACACCAACATCTTTTAAATTCTTGGAACCAACTTTTTCTTAATACACCAGCTCTAGAACAATATGCTCAAAGCATTCATGCCCGTGGAGCTCCTCTTCAAAACTGTTTTGGCTTTGTGGACGGGACCTTGTGCAAGATATCTCGCCCAAAGAATAATCAGCGTGAAGTTTACAATGGACACAAACGTGTGTATGCATTAAAATTTCAGAATGTTGTTCTTCCAAATGGGCTCATAGCCAACCTAAATGGACCCTATGAGGGGCAAAGGCATGATGCCACGATGCTCTGTGAATCAGGCTTACTAAGGGATCTCCAAGTACATGGGCAAATGATGGGAGGCCGTTATGTTTGTACGGCGACCCAGCATATCCTTTAGGCATCCATTTACAAGCTCCATTTAGAAATGTTCCCCTCACCCCACAGATGGCAAGATTCAATGATCATATGAGTGAAGTCATAGTAGCTATAGAATGGATGTTTGGCTGCATTTCAAATTACTACAAGTTTGTTGAGTTCCAAAAACAGCTAAAGATTGGCCTTAGCCCCGTTGGCAAAATGTACCTGGTTTGTGGAATTCTTCAAAATGCCCACACATGCCTATATGGGAACATCATTTCGGATTATTTTGATGTTGACTCCCCAGACCTTCTAACTTATTTCTGGTAAAATATACACGAGTATTGTTTACGATATTTCTGATGGTTAATGTTGTTCAAAGGTTATTTTCATTATAGATAACTGTGTTTAGATGTAAAGATACACTGAGACACTGCTGATAGCCAGGTCTTTTTAAGTAGTGAAAAGTGTAATCATTGTTGTTTAAATTGTTTTATATATACATTGTGAGAAATAGTCTTAGCTTTCCACACCATTTTGTGCAACATAGTATTCAAGCAATGTGGAATAAAAATAATTAAATATCATTGTCATTGTATTCTTTAATTGATGCATTCAATGATAAAACACCCTATAGGGTTCAAAAGAAGCCTTAACGTTGCTGGCAAAAATGTCTTTTGTACCTAAGATTATTTAGGTTTTAACTTTAATATTGTTAGGGGTAGGAAAGAGAAAATTCATGTGTACCAATTTTACCAGAGGACTTTTTAGAACAGCACTAACATAGCACAAGCTCACCATTAGCATTTACGTCCAAGACGAACATGACTAACGTTAAACATAAAATCTCTTGACTTCTGCATTAAATAAAAGGTGAGATTGGACTAACTGTGTCACTCACTATAGGTAAACTGACTAGAAAAATTACATGCATGTTTTAATTTTTCTTTGAAAATACAACAGCACACAATCCACATATCAAACTTTTATTACTGAAACATATTCATTAACTGATTCCTTTTCAGTACCAGCTGTATAATGTTTTGAAATATGAAAATTAGAAGCCAAAATTTAAGGGCCTATAATTATGTAGTGTTCAGGATCAACAGGCCATGGTCACATTAAATTATGCATAACCAAGTAACAATTATAAATGACGAGAAAAGGTAATTTCAACCAAATGACGAGAGTTAAATCAAAAGTAACACTCCTTTAAGAGGATTATTTCACCCCAGTTTATGCCTCAAACGAGCTCTCAAACAGTAAACAACATTTTCGAAGAGTAAACAATGTTGTACCTTCTCTCAAAAACAAAAGATAAAATTTTGTTATAATGGTACTAACCATAATGCAGACATCATTTCAAATTTTATTGTTAACAATGCATAAGCAAAAGTAAATTGAAGTTTAGTCTTTATCCTGTTTTGAAGTGAAAAGCTGAAGCTGTTGTTGCTGCTGTTGCATAATACTCATCATCTGCTGCATGAGCATCATTTGTTGTTGTTGCTGTTGCTTTTGGCTTTCTCCTTGCATTTGAAGTTGCTTCTGTATAAGCTTCATCTGCTCTTTCCTTTCTCTTTGCTGGAACTCTCTTTTTTTTCTTTGCTCTTCAAGCTGGAGCTCTTTGTACTTCAAATCTCGGTCCGCTTTTTTTCCAGCCACGCCAAGGTGTCTCCTCCAGTTCTTAGTTTCTTTCTTTCCTTGATCTCGTCGTCCTGGAGCTCATCAGATTTTGTTCTTTTTGAAGTTTGGCCCATTGTTTCCATTGCTCTTTTCCTTATATCAAGAGCTGGTATAATAACAGATGGATGGTGCACGTTGTTTTTATAGCTAGGTGAAGAGGGTTATTTACAATTTGAATTTTCTTTTAGCGGCGATAATATTTCGCAATAATTTTTCCATGGGTGATTTTTTACCAGGAAGTGCATCAATGGCATGGACCATTTTTAGGTCAGCTTTCCATTTGTCTCGTATGTTTTTGGCATTGGAATAGTCTTTATCGTGTTGTTTGGCGATTCTGTCCAAACGATTGATACCAGGCCATGATATAGGATTGTTAATGTTGAAATGAGATAGGGTGTTGTTTATATACAGTTCAGTCTTTGACGAGATTATTTTGTGGCTGACTCAATTGATCTTGTATGCGGTGACATCTATCCCTGAGTGTGGTCGTGTAGTTATGCAATACCTTATTGCTTTGTTTGATGTTTTCCGACCATGTGGAGATATTTTCCATGGTAAGTCGTATATTTTCAGAGTTTATATTTTTCTTACGAGAAATTTCCAGGGTTTTTTGAAAGATTTGATTTGTTTGTTGAAGGAGAACAAGGTTCTTTTGTTTCCATTGAAAGATTTGCTGGAGTTCTTCGACAATTTGGTTTGTTTCTTGATTGAGCCGTAGGAGTTTTTGCGTTTCGGGATCCATGTTTTGTACGGAATGAAAAAAAGTGGGTTGGGGAAAGAAATTTATAGAGAGAGAGAGAGAGAGAGAGAGAGAGAGAGAGAGAGAGAGAGAGAGAGCTAGAGAGATCTAGAGGATCTGGGTATTTGCTACGTGGTTAGATTCTTGTGGGTATTTTCTACGGTACAAAATACCCATTGAGGGTTTTTGCTACGGTAGGAAATACCCATGTGGGTTTTTGCTACGGTAGGAAATACCCATGTGGGTATTTGATACGTTCAATGGGTTTTGCTACGGTAGCCAATACTCATCTGGGTCTTTGCTACTCCCAAGTGGGTATTTGTTACCGTAGCAAATACTCAAAATGGGTTTTTGTTACCGTAGCAAATACTCAAAATAGGTATTTGACAAATTTTTACCTATTTCAAGGTTTCATATTAAAGAAAACTATTTTTTTGGTTCTACGGTTTATTACCGAAGAAGTACATCATTAGCGGTCAGCGTTCACACACTTCAACTTTCGTTTTCGTGTTTCACGTGTTCGTCGATGACGGCAACTTTCAAACGGTAAGAAAATAAGATCAACATAGGTTTCTTGTTATATTTCGTCCCTTAAGCAAGTGGTTATCAACGAAATACGCTTTGCAAGCATCCAAGGTATAAGTGTCGATATATTTTTTACAATATTTGAGAAAAAAGCCGATAAACTTGAAGAATGATTGGCCTTCGTAATATCTTACATAATTATCGGTTTACTTATATTTAACTTCCAAATCATATAGATATGAATCGTAGAATGCATTTTTTCTGCTTTGTTCTAACAATGAAGTGGGTGAAAGCTCTTACTTAAAAAATAAAATTGCTTTTTATGAACAGAAATTCCCTTGATAGCAACAAAACATCGATCGATGTTTCAGGACTTTGGATAAGTTATTTTCGATGCTATTATTTATTGCGATCATCTCTTATCCTATTTCAATCCCTGTCAAATCATTGCAATCATCTCTTATGCTGTGTTGATCACTGTCAAATCATTTTAATCAACTGTTATGCTGTGTTGATCACTGTCAAATCATTCTAATTAACTGTTATGCTTTGTTGATCACTGTCAAATCATTCTAATAAACTGTTATGCTGTGTTGATTACTGTCAAATCATTCTAATCATCTGTTCTGCTGTGTTGATAAATTTCAAATCATTCTAATCAACTGTTATGCTTTGTTAATCACTGTCAAATCATTCTAATCATCTGTTATGCTTTGTTGAGCACTGTCAAATCATTCTAATCATCTGTTATGCCTTGTTGAGCACTGTCAAATCATTCTAATCATCTGTTATGCTGTGTTGATCACTGTCAAATCATTCTAATCATCTGTTCTGCTGTGTTGATCACTGTTAAATCATTTTAATCATATGTTATGCTGTGTTGATCACTGTTAAATCATTGCAATCATTTCTTATACTCTAGTGATCACTGTCAAATCATTCTAATCATCTGTTCTGCTGTGTTGATCACTGTTAAATCATTTTAATCATATGTTATGCTGTGTTGATCACTGTTAAATCATTGCAATCATTTCTTATACTCTAGTGATCACTGTCAAATCATTCTAATCATCTGTTCTGCTGTGTTCATCACTGTTAAATCATTTTAATCATATGTTATGCTGTGTTGATCACTGTTAAATCATTGCAATCATTTCTTATACTCTAGTGATCACTGTCAAATCATTCTAATCATCTGTTCTGCTGTGTTCATCACTGTTAAATCATTTTAATCATATGTTATGCTGTGTTGATCACTGTTAAATCATTGCAATCATTTCTTATACTCTAGTGATCACTGTCAAATCATTCTAATCATCTGTTCTGCTGTGTTCATCACTGTTAAATCATTTTAATCATATGTTATGCTGTGTTGATCACTGTTAAATCATTGTAATCATTTCTTATACTCTAGTGATCACTGTCAAATCATTCTAATCATCTGTTCTGCTGTGTTGATCACTGTTAAATCATTTTAATCATATGTTATGCTGTGTTGATCACTGTTAAATCATTGCAATCATTTCTTATACTCTAGTGATCACTGTCAAATCATTCTAATCATCTGTTCTGCTGTGTTCATCACTGTTAAATCATTTTAATCATATGTTATGCTGTGTTGATCACTGTTAAATCATTGCAATCATTTCTTATACTCTAGTGATCACTGTCAAATCATTCTAATCATCTGTTCTGCTGTGTTCATCACTGTTAAATCATTTTAATCATATGTTATGCTGTGTTGATCACTGTCAAATCATTCTAATCATCTGTTATGCTGTGTTGATCACTGTCAAATCATTCTAATCATCTGTTCTGCTGTGTTGATCACTGTCAAATCATTTTAATCATATGTTATGCTGTGTTGATCACTGTTAAATCATTGCAATCATTTCTTATACTCTAGTGATCACTGTCAAATCATTCTAATCATCTGTTCTGCTGTGTTCATCACTGTTAAATCATTTTAATCATATGTTATGCTGTGTTGATCACTGTTAAATCATTGCAATCATTTCGTATACTCTAGTGATCACTGTCAAATCATTCTAATCATCTGTTCTGCTGTGTTCATCACTGTTAAATCATTTTAATCATATGTTATGCTGTGTTGATCACTGTTAAATCATTGCAATCATTTCTTATACTCTAGTGATCACTGTCAAATCATTCTAATCATCTGTTCTGCTGTGTTCATCACTGTTAAATCATTTTAATCATATGTTATGCTGTGTTGATCACTGTTAAATCATTGTAATCATTTCTTATACTCTAGTGATCACTGTCAAATCATTCTAATCATCTGTTCTGCTGTGTTGATCACTGTTAAATCATTTTAATCATATGTTATGCTGTGTTGATCACTGTTAAATCATTGCAATCATTTCTTATACTCTAGTGATCACTGTCAAATCATTCTAATCATCTGTTCTGCTGTGTTCATCACTGTTAAATCATTTTAATCATATGTTATGCTGTGTTGATCACTGTTAAATCATTGCAATCATTTCTTATACTCTAGTGATCACTGTCAAATCATTCTAATCATCTGTTCTGCTGTGTTCATCACTGTTAAATCATTTTAATCATATGTTATGCTGTGTTGATCACTGTTAAATCATTGGAATCATTTCTTATACTCTAGTGATCACTGTCAAATCATTCTAATCACCTGTTCTGCTGTGTTCATCACTGTTAAATCATTTTAATCATGTTCTGCTGTGTTGATCACTGTTAAATCATTGCAATCATGTGTTATGCTGTGTTGATCACTGTTAAATCATTTTAATCATCTGTTCTGCTGTGTTGATCACTGTTAAATCATTGCAATCATGTGTTATGCTGTGTTTATCACTGTCAAATCATTCTAATCAACTGTTATGCTTTGTTGATCACTTTCAAATCATTCTAATCATCTGTTATGCTGTGTAGATCACTGTTAAATCATCTGTTATACTCTGTTGATCACTGTCAAATCATTGTAATCATGTTATACTGTGTTTATCACTTTCAAATCATTGAAATCATCTTTTATGCTGTGTTCATCACTGTCAAATCATTTTAATTATCTTTTATGCTGTGTTGATCATTGTCAGATCATTCTACTCATCTGTTATGCTGTGCTAACCATTGTCAACTCTATCATTGAGATCAGTTTTCTATTTGTTTGTATTATAGTAACCATGGAAGGTAGTTCTGAAATAAGGAAAAAGTCTCGGGAATCTAAAGTGTGTTCGAGATGTGGGAAATCAGTTATAAATTTATCTCGTCATCAGAAGGATGTACATAAAGTGAATAAGATTTTTCGTCAGGTAGATGTATATATAAATGGAAACAAGAAAGCGCCTAATAGGAAGATAAAGTTTTGTCCGTTATCTCCATGCAAGCATTCAAAGAAAGGTGTCTTTCAACTTCATCATCATTTACAGTCAAATATCCACAAGCTTAATCCCAACTCAAACCAATACTTAGATGCGCTTAAATCTGCTCCGAGAATTGGGCTTCAAGAGCTACGAGATCACATTGCCAAGAGAAAGAAATCCAAAGCAAAGAGCGCCACAACTAAAGATGGTCCTAAAAGAGAAAAAATCGAATCAAAATCACCTGTACGTGGAAAGGCCGCAAAAAGGGTGAAATTTTACAAGGGTGACAAGGAAAATGAGTATAGTTTGGTGAATAGAATCGAAGCTGAGGAAGAAATTGAAAATGACTCGGATGATCAATTATTAGAAAATCCTGAAGGAGAAGCAACTATCAGCAGAAACGTGAGTAACCCTGGGCACCTCGCACCGACCTCCTCCAATAGTAATGCAGAGGAGCGCAAACTACATAATGAAGAAAGTTGTGAATCAAAGGTAAGAGAGACGTACAATGATGATGACAGCAAATTAGAGTATGATCAGCAAGTTGATAAAGTGGAACACAAGCTACATAATGAAGAAAGTGGAGATTCAGGCAATGATCATGACAGTAATTTGGAGTATGAAAAAGTAATGGATCAAATGGAATCAAAGGTAGGTGATACACATGATGACCATGACAGCGATTTGGAGTATGATCAACTTGTGGATAACGTGTGGAAAAGAAATGAAGAGTGCAAGAAGCGAAGCTTTAAACAGTTAGTGTCTATGATGTCCTCCCAGTGTGAAAGCGATGCCGAGCTATCTGAAGAGTTAAACAACCGCAAAAATGCTGACCAAGTAATCCAACCACCTCAACCACCAGTGACGGCTGGTAATACCAAATCTAGTGAAATAGTTATATGCGACAGTGAAGAAGAGGAAATTTTAGACCCAAACTATCACCCTTCCCTGGACTCCGAATCAGAGTGTAGCACTGGAAGCTTGTCAGATAACTGCTCGTTGCAAGAAAGGGATGACATTTTAACTGATTTCGTGGAAAACGTAGATAATCTCGATTTTCTTCGTGTGGAACCAGAATGGAAGAGCGTGGTTGATGTTGTTTTGAAAAAAAAAAGAACGCTGGTAATACTGACTCCCAAAGCAATCTTTCACAAGGTAAAGTGCCTAAGGAAGTTATGAATGATGATGAATCATCAGTATACGATAGCGATGATGATGATAATGACGACTGTCTTGAAGAGATGGAAGATGATGTCAGTTTTGAAGACAATGATAGTAGTGATGACAGCCCACTGCTTAACGAGTTTCATTCCTGGTTGATAGACGTAGACGGGGGGTTATCGCTGCGCAAAAGTGGCTGGTCAGTACAAGTCACAGGTAAAACGCATCATGAAAGTTCTTTCAGAAGATTTCCCTCAAGCAGCAAATGAAATAGATCTTGTTACTGTCGAGGGGCATGACGGAGTGGTAATGTTGAGGAAGTGGTTGGGTCAACTATCTGAGGAGTATCAACCTGGAACCATTAGATCATACCTAATGAGCCTTAGGCTATTCCTTAAATTCCTTGTGCAAGAAGAGAAAGGGCAAGATAGATTAGACACACTTCATGCAAGGAGAGATCTTTTAACTTCGTGGTCATCTGCTCAAAGAAAGAAGGTGCTGAAAAGGAAATTAGAGAAACATGACATGGACTTTGCAAAACTCCTTTCTAGCGAAGATCTATATAAAGTGTCAAATGGACAACAGCGAATAAACATAATTAAAGCGCTTGGAACAGCTGCGGAGAAAAGCAAAGCTTGTGGAGAACCTGTGCTGGTCAACGATCAGACCTTTTGCGAAGTAAGGGATTGGCTGATTACAAGATTAATAATTGACAACTCCGGAAGAAGTGGTATTGCAGCAAATATAACAGTGGAGGAATTCAAAGATGCTAAACTGTACGCTGGAGAAGAAGATGGAGAGAGATACCGCGTATCAGTTAAGAATCACAAGACAGGAGGTGTTTATGGGGCAGCCATTGTATGGTTTCATGCTGATGTTTACAATCTGGTGAATACGTATATCTCAAGGGTGAGGCCTAAGTACGTCAAAGATGCCACAGATAACATGTTCGTTTCAACCAATGGCGTTAAACTTACTTCATCGCAAGTATCCACGTGTCTGACTCGTACATTTCAAAGGGAGGGTGTGAAGTTTCACGGTCGCATCTCCGCAACCTTGATAAGAAAATCTCTGGCATCAGGAGTGCATGTCCATTTGCCTGAAGATCAAGAACAACTGGCTGCCCTTGCACAGCACAAACCTCAAACACAAGCTCAATATTACCGCATCAATGACAAAGTTAGAGAAACAGATATTGGGCGTCGTGCTGTCAGAAAATTTATCACCATGAACTGCGCAAAGACAGAGGTAAGTACTCTTATAATGCATACCAATCGTAGTAATTTGAATAACAATTGGCATACGAATTCTGATTTCTTTTAGGTATCAATAATTCCTGTCGAGTGGACCGAGGAAGAGACCTCAAAACTTCAAGATTTATTCAAGTCTGAAATTGAGACTGGTAACATAACTGAAAACATTGTCAGAGATAAACTTGGTGCTTCCAACCTGTTGGAAACACACTCCATGAAGGCAATTGTGTTGAAAGTGAGAAGGCTTCGATCAGAATTTACCAAAAACTTAGAACCACCAACTGAAGTTGAGTCTCCTGAACAGAAGATAGAACGGTTTATGTCTTCCAGAGCTCCATCCATCGCATCTGAATCTGCAAAGCCATCATGGAGTAAGTTCACCGATGAACAAACAGACCATCTCCTATCGTTAACTCAGGATATGATTGAAAACAACGCAGTAAAAAGAGAGGTCGTTTGGGAACGGGTGATAAATGATGAGAAAGCATGGAAAACCGGGTTGGTCTTCGGAACCGATGATGAGGAGCTTCTTTTGAGGCAAAAACAACGTTTGGCGGACAAGGTACGAAAAGAAGTCAAACGTCAAAAGATGAAGAGAAAGTAGTAGTTTGATCCTGTGGTTCTTGCATTATATTTGAACATTAGTTGACATTGAACATTTCTTGTCTTTATGTATTCAGGGTTACAACATAATTGAGTCCTATATTGTTAACATGTTATTTTTTCTTTAACCGTTTGCCAGTCATTTTATGGTTGATCGTTTTATTTCAAGTAAGTCAATATTCCCTAAAAAGGCCGATTTACACAATGCAATTTCTTCGTGTGTTAAGGTTCGAACGACAAGTCATAGGGTCGTGTACGACCTGACGAATGACCGTTTATATGGTATGATTCGGGTCACATGCATCAAGTCATATACTACAATCGCATCGTGGAAATCGGCCTTAAGAGTCATATACTACAATCGCATCGTGGAAATCGGCCTTAAGAGTCATAGAATTTGTCTTGGTGACTGATGTGTGTAGGACATCGACTTCTATGAAAAAGATTTAACTTGTCTTGGTCTTGTTGCGAGGTGTTATAAAGTTGAATTTTCATAAAGCAAAAGTTGTCGTTTAAAAACTTAGCTCCAAGTGATAAAGCTTATATCTGGAATTAAAAGAGTTTACTTTGAGACTCGTTGTCATGAACCTGCAATATATTGTCTTTTTAAGTGCAGTTCCAGTTGAGATTTTGTGGAAGTTTCATGACGTTTTCGAAAAGTTTAGGGTGAAGTCACTAAGCCCGTGAAATACATATTAGACTAACACACTTTATTAACCACTAATTTCGTTGTTTCCTTTAGTTTCTATTGAACTATTACATGTTAACAGTTAAATATTTTTTATGGGTTTAACTTTACCCTAGTGCAACTTTTGTCGTCATAATAGAGCGATATCGCATAACCCCTTCCTAAATATTGGTGTTTTATTCTAAATGAGCCAATACAAAGATAACATTAGAATACTTAAGACTTTATCTATTGTTGTCTTTCTACGATGTCCATTAACCTTTAACTAATATCCACTTGCTTTTAAAAATATTTATATCGCTCTGTAAACCTCACAAACCGGTGAAATTGCAGCTAAAATCGCCATTGTCATAGAGCTTTAAGGATGATCAACACGCACGCCCAAACTTGTATGCGAGCTGTCAATAGGATATGTATATGTAATCGCATGGGTCCTCGGGCAATTAAGGATTAATTTCACGCGTATTTCCAAACTTTGAAAACACCAGTGAAATTAATCCTTAATTGCCCGAGGGCACTTGCGATTTTCTTGTTTATCACATAAAGGGCAAAATTATCGCGGGAATCCATTCACGCGCGACGTTATTCTTTTAGGAAGCCCGTTCAATGCCGCGACATTGCTCATTTTTTCCTCTTGTCTTTGCCCATTGTTGGAAAATGTTAGTCCAGTAGTCCGTACTTCTTTTTGTGTTTTTGTGCTCACTTGTGTTTAGTAGTTCCTCAATAAACTCTTCAACAAAATGGGAAGCCATTGTTGCAGAAAATTTTAATCGGCAACAAATCTAAGCAATAACTTCATTACAAAGCAACTTTAAACCAATCAAGATCAAGTAATCATGCCCTTTTGATTACCAAAAGTACCCTCGTGATTAAGAAAAAATGCCCTCTGTCTCAGCCAATCAGCACTTAGTAATTTTGCCCTGTATGTGATAAGCTACATAAAATGGGAATTTGCTAGGTGTAGAGTTTTGCTCATAAATCCAATTAACAGCAATAAAATCTATCGAAAAAAACCAGTGGCCATGTTTGTAAAGTAAAGCGTCATGTCTCTTCTGAAAATTAGCCGTTTGCGCATTTAGTAAGAGTATCTAAATTTTGTGCTAGCAAACTTAAGGTGGAATCCCTGTACATGAAAGGGTATCATTTACTGTTCCCCTCTTTTGTTGGGAATCTACTTCCCTGAAAAAATAAGCTGGAAAAATGTATTTTTACGCGTTAAGAACTGTGCTTAATTTAAGTAGATCTACTGAGTACAAAGACTGTCTCAGGCCTGCTAGTATGGACACCTTAACCCAAGACGTTTTACTGCGTCTTTAATCATGTTTAAGGTATACAAGCGACAGGAAGCTTCGTATATTTCTAATTTTTTACACCTAGAGTCTGTCATTACAATTTGCGCTCCTCTGCTCTTAATGTTTCCCAGCCTGTAAATACCTCTAGCCATATTCAGAGCTCTTTTCATACACTATCTCTCATTCTTGGAACCAGTTACCATCTTCAATTAAATCAGCAACCACTTTATCGGAATTTAAGTCTGGCCTATCTCGCATAACTACGCTTGGCTGTAAGCCTATAAGTGTATTAGTATACAATTGTAGAGGTAGGGTTATGAATTGGTAATTAGGCTTGGGGTTAGGGCTATAATGTTAGGTGATTAGGGCTGGTAGGGTTTCAGGGGAAGTTCAGCATCGGGAGCTAAGTGATATTTTTGCGTTTTTATCATCTTTGTCGAGCGTTTTTAACATGAGCCATTAGGCTCGGGGGATTGGGTAACCACCCCCTACGTTGCCGACGTGAAAAAAATTGTTGTTGTCCACGTGATCAGTAAAAATGGTCTAAAAAGCTTTATTTTGTTAATTCAATTAGTACACTAGGCAGGAAATCATCTTAACTGTCAATATTGCTCCGCTTCTCTTTTTAACTTGAATGTCGCTCAGTCACGATATTTCTGCTTTAATTCAAATAATAACACTTTTAAAAAATGTTTAAATTATTTTCCATGTTCCCTTTCACAAGGCGTCTTTTAGCTATGCAAACAAATTACCAGAATTCCGCTTTATTCAAGTTTTATAAGTAAAAATGTCCCATCAATTTGGCAAAGTGGGTATTTGCTACTTACAAGTGGGTATTTGCTACATAAAATGGGTATTTGCTACATGCAGAATTTCGCTCGTAAAATTGATAAAAATGAATGGAATAGCTTGTAAACACGTTGTAAATTCTTAAAAATAATGCGTCATCCATGCATGCGAAAATCATGGCATTAGAATGAACTAAAAAGTGAAATAATGCGAAAAACGCATTTTTAGAAATGTTTGGGTTCCAAAGTTTCAAGTCTTGTACACCTACATACCCAGAAGCGCACTTTTTGCTAAAAATGGTCTTCACAGAAAAAAATTTTAAAACGACAGAACTCAGAAGGCTTTTACGGCAAAGAAGAACATTTAGAAGACCTTTGATATCCGGAAAAGTTTTTGAATTTTTAAAAAAATGATTGATGTACCTAGGTTTGGGTATTTGCTACCTTCTGACTTTTCAGTGACGAAATGCGAACAACAATTAAACTTTAATAACGTTGGTTTTGCATAGAAGAGAGCTAAAAAAAGCAATATTCTTTTGGCTAGAATTGTTAAATACTTTAAAAAAAAACTTTTACTTAATTTAAATAGGCATAGAGAAAACGCGTAGCAAACACTCACTCATGAATCTAAAGAGAGAGAGAGAGAGAGAGAGAGAGAGAGAGAGAGAGAAAATATATGATTGACACATTTTCTGTCAAAAAAAAAAAAAAAAAGAAATTTATTTCAGTCAAAAAAAAATTAAATTTACACGTCGTGTTGTGTACAAGTGACAAGAATCCGTAATACTCTTCAAACGCGTTCTACTCTTAAATCACGATTTGTTTCTAATTCATATTGTAATTTAAATTTTTTTTGAGATTTCTTTGAAGATCATGTCGTGAATCTGAAAAAAAAAGTATTTAATCTAATTAAAAACATTTTGTGAATTCGTTCGCTATATAGAGGGGGAAGTTCGCGCGCGACACATTCCAATTCACCTGACACCATTGGTGCATGTATTATTGAGAACATGAAAGTTGCATGCTTCGTTTACATCTGGTTTTTTTTCTTTCCTGTCTCATTTGTTTACTGTTTCGCCTGACCATTTTTTCCTATATACACGATGCAAAATATACAATCAAGATAGTGACGAAAGACATTATTTTCTCGGGGGAACGGGAAAAAAAGTATTATACCTTTTTTTTCCCTTCGTCTTCTTTTTATTCTGATGTTGATTGTGTCTCTGCACTTCGGAAATGTGATGGAGTGATGAAAGACGTCCCCCTTTATATACTAGGGACCTTAAGAAAATTGAAAGTTAAGCACCCGCGTCTTGTACAAAGATGAAGATGTCAACAAGTGAGGCTCAACAAGTGGTGGTTTTAGTTATGTCGTCGTTTAAAGACATCAGGAATTTTGTTTTTGCTGGATATGCCCACGACATGTTTGATGACGAAGAATTCTGCCTTCTCTACGACTTTTATCAGTCGAAGAATCCGGATTTTCCTTACAACTCGTACGTGTCGTTCGATTTGGGGGAAATGGATCCTGCTGAGTGTTATACCGAGTTTCGAGTCTCGAAATGGCACATTCCCTTGCTGGCAGACAGGCTACAGATTCCCCCAACATTCCAGTGCCCACAGCGTTCTGTTTGCGATGGCATAGAAGGGCTATGTATGCTACTGAAACGACTGGCTTACCCCTGTCGATACAGTGATATGGTGCACAGATTTGCAAGGCCAGTTCCGGTCTTCAGCATGATAACAAATACTGTTCTCGATTATGTCCATGACAGGCATGGGCACAGACTAGCTCAGTGGAACAATCAAGTTATGGACCCCAACCATTTGCAGCAATATGCAGACGTGATTTCAGCTAAAGGCTCTCCCTTGGACAACTGTTTTGGTTTTGTCGATGGCACGGTTCAACCAATAAGTCACCCAGGACAGCACCAGAGGGCTGTATACAATGGACACAAGAGAGTCCATCCATTAAAATTTCAATCTGTTGCTCTACCGAATGGGTTAATAGGAAACCTATATGGCCCAATAGGTAATAATAATTATAATAATGTAAGGAATTATTTATGCATGGTAGTCACTTCAGTTTAAAATTGTTAATTAAAAATAACCCTGAAAAATAAATAGAAAGATGAAGAAAATAAAAAAACTTAAGATGGCAAAAAATTCCAAAGCCGGTTCCTGAAAGGTGGAACAACACTATCCAGGGATAAAACTGTCTTATTCCAGTCATAACTTTGTCCTGGGATAAAGTTGACTGGAATAAGGCAGACTTATCCCTGGAATAGAGTTATTCCACCTTTCAGGAACCGACCCCTGAAAAAAGGTCAAAAAAGGGTAAAAATCAGGAATCAAGTACTAAAAAAGTCCCATCAAGTGGAGGTGATTGATCTCTTCAGAGATATAATTTTGCAGATTAGAATATTGAATAAATTCTTTTGCAAAGAACTTAAATTTCCATCAGGTTCTCTACTGAGTATGCACCACAAGGTCACAACCATTGTCCACGCATCTAATTGTTTTCTAAACCTTTCATTTTCAGAAGGTAGAAGACATGATGCAGCTATGTTAGCTGAATCAGGCTTGCTGCAAGATCTCCAGCACCATGCAGTTTCCCCCCATGGCCACCTAATGTGCTTATATGGTGATCCAGCTTACCCGCACAGAGTGCAACTCCAACAACCATTCAGAAATGCTGTTTTAACACCCCAGATGCAAGAGTACAATGTCAGAATGAGTTCTGTGAGGGAATCCGTTGAATGGCTATTTAGGGACATAGTGAACTACTTTAAATTCATAGACTTCAAAAAAAATCTTAAAATAGGCTTGAGTAGTATTGGCAAGATGTATATTGTCTGTGCAATTCTGAGAAATGCACTTACATGCCTGTATGGAAATGAAACTTCCAAGTTTTTTGAATTAGACCCACCCTCACTTCATGATTATTTTGCCTGAATGTCACAAATGTACAGAAGCCAGTCAGACTAAACAACTTTCATAATGTTTTTTTACAGCATCACAACATGATGTGACGTAACTAACACAAATATATAGGCAACAGCAGGCCATTAGCATTTTGTTTACATTAAATAGGAAAGTACCTAATGTCAGAAGTACACTGTAACAAAAACTACCAAACAAATTGTAAATAAACAATGCCTTACAAAGTGATATAATTATGAAGGCTTTTGAATGACAACAAGTTGGGACAAGGAAAAAACCCTTGTCACCTTTACTTCTTAACAACTTTTTCTAGGAGAGCCAACATAACTTGTGTTTGCTGGCTTACAAACATAGCCTGCAAATTCTGAAGTTGCTGCTGTTGCTGTCTCGTCATAGCAGTCATTGCTTCTTGCTCACTCCTTCTTAAATTTAGTTCTTGTTTCATTTGGTGGTCCCTCTCAGATTTGTTCTCCAGAAATTCAAGCATCTCATGTGAGCTGCGCCTTGTTTTTTTCTTCTTTGAAGAAGTTTCTCCCACATCACTTTCCCTGGTTTTAGTCTGAGACATCCTTTCCATTGCCAGTCTTCTAATGTTGTCAGCACCTGCCTTGTCTTGCTTTGCTTTTCTCTTTTTGGTATCTCCAGACTCAATCTCAGCTCTAGCAGCTTTCTCTTTCTCCCAAATTTCTTCTAATAACAAGTCAATTTCCCCTGGTGTAACTTCTATCCCTGAAGCTTTCTCCTCCTCTCTTAACTGCTCTGCTTTTCTGGTTGTCAGAAGTGTGTAGTGATCACGTGCGGATCTAGTTGTAACTCTAAACTTTGGAGCTTGGATGCTATTTAAACTGGAGGCAATCTGCTCCCAGGCTTTTGCTCTTTCAACACTTCTAACTTTGTGGGCATATGGCTCAGTAACCAAAAGCTCTCTACAAAACAAGATGTCATGTTCCTTTGTCCAGACAAAGTTGGCTCTATGAAAAACGACACAAGCCAAAAATTACTTTGACAGCTTCAGTGGTAGATCCATTATTTTTAGACCATTACTACAAAGGATTTACCAGGAATGGAAAAAAATTAAGGGGGGGTGATTCTTATAAGGATATACTGGGAAATTCAAGGTAAATGAGGGTGGCCAGCAAACAAATTCACACACTCTGAATCAACTCTGGAGATTTTGCCAAAAATTCCTTCCATGATCTTTCTATTGAAAATATATTTTTTAGCATCCTGTTTATCACTTAATTACTTATTATTTTGTGTAATATTGTTGAATTTGTCTATCCTCTACCCCCACCCCTCTACCTCTGACACACTTCTAGCATCTCCCCAAGCTTTACTGATGCTATGATATTCCCAGTTTTTTATCATTTTCACTCTTTTTTACCCCCTTGCTCACACAAACCCTCCCAACAGGGAAAACAGGTGTACAAAATAAGGTTACATGTACATCTGAGAAGGGTGATGGGAAGAATAAAGTAATTCAGGTGAATTAAGGCTTACAAATAAACAGACTCCTCAATAGTGGTGTCTGTGACAGAGTATTTTAACAGGGTTCAAAAGTTTAGAGATGGAGAAACACTCACTATTAGGCAGGTGCTTTTTAAGTTTATCGAAGGCTGAGGTTTCAATTATATTATTATACCAATATAATTTGTACCTTAGAACTAATGTCAATCTTATGCTGTAGTAATATTGTAGACTAATATTTATATTTATTTATTACTGATACCCTCCAAGATTAGCTAATGCTACACGCGGGTTGTGTAAATTGTATTTCATATATCCGGTGGAAATAAATAAAAAGTAAAAGGTCTGAAACACTTCTTTTCGCTAAAAAGGTTCGCTTTTATATCGTGATCAAAAGAAGCCGAACGAAGTGTGATTTGCGATGTGCGGATCTGGTGATTTCTGGTAAGAATGAGACAAATGAGGGCTAAGTTGAATGAGGGATAATATTCCATATCTAGCTAGATTCTAAAGCACAGCTTTGTCAAAAGACCAAAACAACTTGAGCTTACGTGTTTTTTCCCGCCCTTGCTGGTTGCTGTAGGTCTATTGCATTCATCTACAAGTGTCAAATAAACAACATTTTAGAGAATTATCAAAACCTTCAACAAAATATACAAAGAATATTGCTTGAGAATTAGTTCCTTGTTCGGAAGAATGAGAACGATCGTCACTTAACGGCAAAATGAAAGATACTTTACTTACGTTCTCACCACAACAAAAAACACTGACACCTGCCGTCCTTGACAACACCACAAAAACAAAAATGAAATGAAATGAACTCTGAAGAAAAGGTGAAATATGACTTCCGGTCGTTCTCGTCTTTGTCCGCGACGAAGCTGCTTAAGGTCTCTACTGTCTCCACTCCATCACCGCTGACGAATGATATATCCTAATAGGGGTAATCTGTCCTTCAATAGATCATAAGTGAGAACCAATCAGAATGCGTGCATAATTGAACTTATTATACACTCAACAAAATATCGCGTTTCTGATTGGTCAATGATGAATGCATAAATAGGTTATAGAGTGCAATAGAGGTTATAGAGTGCAATACGGAGAAGTTGCCATGGAAACACTGGGAAGCGCCAAATTTGAACACCAAATTATAAAAAAATGGCTGACAGTCAGTTTGCTTTGTCAAACCAAAACATCGTTGAGCAACTTAAAGAAAATGCGAAAAACAAAAACACGTTGAAAGCTACACAGACCTGGTTAAATGTCTGGCAAACATGGGCGACTCAACGAAAAGTAAACCCAAAAATGGAAGAATACCAGCACGAACAACTCGATAAAATGTTGCAAATCTTCTACACAGAAATACGCACAGAGTACAGAGTTTAAAATCCATGCTGGCAGCCCTCGACCGCTATTTAAAAGAGCATGACTACAAGTACTCTATTATACGAGACTGAGAGTTTCACCAGTCGAAGTTGGTACTCGAAGGAAAAGTGAAGTGTCTCCATCAACAAGGAAAAGGCAAGAGACCCAATACCGCGAACGCACTGACAGCCAAAGAAGAAAAAATGCTATGGAGTGAACAAAGTCTCAGCAACTGCAGTCCAAGAGTTCTTTCCCAGACGATGTGGTGGATCTTGACTCAACATTTTGGCCTGAGGGGAAGACAGGAACACCATTCAATGGAAGTCAAGGACTTCAGTTTTTGTGTGGACGACAGCGGCACAGAGTATGTCACATTTAAAGAAAATCCTACAAAGACGAGGGAGGGAGGACTGAACACAAAACATCGTAGTGTTCTGCCAAAAATGTTCGCTACTGGCAGTCAGAGATGTCCTGTTGAGTTACTGAAGCAATACCTTAGTAGGCGTCCTCAAGAGCTGCGCGACAAAGGTCCTTTTTACCTTGCCATAATCGAAAATCCCAAAACAGATGTTTGGTACAAGAAGCAGCAGCTCGGCGTAAACAGCATCGACAATATGGTGAAGAGCGTCATCAAGAACACAGCTCTGGAAACAAGCAAGAAGAAATTGACTAACCACACAGCAAGGAAGACAGTTGTGAAGAAACTCAGAGCAGCAAGCATCGAGAGGCAGTTGATAATCCAGGTGACCAGCCACGCAAGTGAAACGTCTCTTAACGACTACGATGAAGGTAGCCAGAAGGAACAGCGACAGCTTTCAAACATTATCAGCAATGCTCCATAGTCAGCAGCCTCCAGCAGTTTCCCTGGTCTACCAATGTGGTCTTCTCCTGCAACGACTTCAACGTGTGAACAGGTAAAACAAGCGGCCATGCTTTCACTGTGAACAACTTTCACAACTGTCAAGTCACATTTGACGTGATTCAGGGGCAATGCAGTTCATCAAAGTCTACAAGTCAGAATGTTATTCCCTGAGGCCTATTGAGATCAAACATTTGAAAACAGTTTAGCGGGCTTAAGTACTCTTGCCGCTTTTAATAACTGAAATTTAGCTTTTGAGTTCAGCTTGTGATATTTTCTGAGAAACTTTCAAGAACTTCACGCTTGATTTACCTGTCACAACATTACATTTTTGATTGGTTCAAATAAAACATGTGAGCATTTTGGAACCCATTGAAGTGTTTGTTGTAGTACGTAAGGCGTGCAGAGTAGCGCGATGGAGTAATTTCGTTGAGAATACAATAAATAAAAAATCGTATGAACCTGCTCGTGCATTTCGTGATTTATGGTCACTCGTGATGTTTTGAAAGTTCTCAAATTGCACTCGCCTACAGCTTGTGCAATTTTGAGAACTTTCAAAACATCACTCGTGCCCATAAATCACGAAATGCACTCGCGTTCATACGATTTCCTATACTTATTATATAAAAGAAAGTGGATCGTTTTTTGTGTATTTGATGATTGTTGATATGTTTTTTGTGGCTTTTCCAATTTCATTTTTTTTATTTGGTTTTGCGAAGAGTGTAGTTGTTGTTGTTGTTGTTGTTTCATAGACGATGTGAAAAATGGGGCAAAGAAGAAGAAGAAGAAGATCGAAACTTGTAGAAGAATTGAACCTGGAAACCGATCTGATCGGACAGAGTACTGATCCCACGTCGGAGCTTGTGACGAGGGAACAATTAAGAACAGCCATTAAACTGGTGCACAATTTACAACTTGAAAATTGGATACGCTTCCCCATCTTTAATAAGCATAACGAGATGGTTATGGCCACAAGATTTATGAAGATTGTGGAGAAGATGGATGAAATGATACCTGCACAACCTCTGGTAGACTACACCACATATCAAACATTTTTAAAAACAGACTTTATGAAATTTAAGCCTCATTATTCCGGGATAGAATGGAACAGTCTCGTTTCTAGACTGAAAAGGATTTATATTTTTTATGAACATTACAAAGATATATTTACAACACGAACGTTTGGCACGTTGGCCCGTCTTTGTTTGACCTAGTTGTAAAAAAAAAAAAAAACATGCTGAGTTACAAATAAAATTCTTTTTTAAGTACCATCATCACTTTTCGCTATCATCATCATCATCATCAAATGCCAATTTTTTGGCAACGGAACCTATAATGCTTAAAATATAACTTTTCTGTTTCTTCTTTTTTTTCCCAGAAGGATCCCAACTTGTCCATCCTTTAGCCGGATTTAAGATTTTGAGGGCTCGTGGTGTTTTGGAATATTTGGCTGATATTTTTCGCATTTTTCTCAAAGTTTTGTTGAGAGTACCGTCTATATCTAATTCAGGTTCTTCTTGGTCAAATGACAATTCATCCCACGGCACGTTTTTGCTTGGGGTTTGTTTCTTGGGTATCTTGACGGGAATTCTCGACGGTTTTAAAGTCGTCGTCGTCGGTTCTCTTTTGGGTGCTCTTCCGGGTGTGACCGGTTCTGTTTTGGGGGTGACTTCACTCAAAATTCTTTTGAGCAATTTCTGTTGTATGGGAGTCACCAAATCTCCTTCTTCGTCTTTTGAGGATTTTACCAACTTGGTAGGATCGGCATTGACCAATAACAATGCTGGTAGTTGTCTCATTTTTTTAACGTAGAGTTCTATATCAGGATCAATCTGTTTGATGGCTTGCTTTTTGAAACTGTGACTTGTATTGGGATTCTTTAAAATTTCCATTTTACGAGTCAGGAGTTTGGCAGTTGTATCCAATGTAGGATCAATGGTAAATCGTCCTTTGAAAAGATTCACCATGGCCGGATCTTTGGTTGAAACCATGTACATTTTTTGATAAGCCATATTTCTCTCTGTCTCTAATGACAACAAGTCTTGACGACAGTGGTTAGTCCATTCCACAATTTTCCACCTTTCTGATTTATTAAGGCTTGTCTTCTCTTTTTAAGTGATACGGCTTGATTTCCAATTTGTCTCAGGATTTGTTTGTAAGGTCTTAATCTGGCCATGGTGACGGGCACATTGTTTTTGAGTAAATTCTCGCAATTTTGCTTACAGCGTTGACTTGATCTTTGTTGGCGTGTTTGATCAGAGCTTTTCTCGCGTTTCTATTAGCTGCTGAAGTAATGGCTTTAAAAACGTTTTCTGTCTACGAATTCTATCCATCTCAATTTTTGCTTACTCTACTAGAGGATCTATTCCCTGCAGATGTATTACTGTCTTTTTATATGTGTTGGTCTACCGTGACTCTTTTCGATCATCTCCTCCTTCTCCTCCGCCGCCGCCCACTGCCTGCTGCCACCCGCCGCCCGTCTGCTAGCAGACGGTGATCCTATGACTGGGGTTACCACTCATCTTTTTTTTTTCAATCTGTTCTTTTTCGATACACGTTGTGTATCCTTCACTTCTCAATAGATTGGTTTTTAACCTTTCATGATCTAATGAGTTGGGATGTAGATTGAACATTAAATACCCGTAGGGTCTCTCCGTAGCATCTCTATACACGTTCAACACCTCTTTGAAATCTTGCGGAAAAGCTTGTTGCGTGAGAATACATACACCCAATTGATTGCGAGGATTCTTGAAGGCAACAATGTAATGCGCATTTCTAGAAATGGTTTTGGCATGTTTACCTTTGGGAAACATGTCTTGAGTCATGAAAACGACTTTGATACCTCTGTGATGTGATTCCCTGGTAAACAGATCTAAGACTCTATGGTCGTCACTTCCTTCGTGCATGAGATCGTCCAAAATCAAAAGTCCTCCTTTTGATTTTTTATACCATTTTTCCAATAATTGGGTATCTGGAATTCCTTCATGGAAATGGATGCCTTGTTCTTTTTTCATTCTTTCAAATGTTGTGGGTTGGTTGGCACCGTAACAATAGATTACGGGATTATAGGGTGGTGTAAACAAACAACTTCTTTCTCTCATCAGTTTTTCCACGAACACTGTTTTACCACAACTAGAAGGTCCCACGACCATGATGCTACACGGACTTTGAAACTGAAACGGCGTACATAACATGATGAATTTTTTTTTCTGTGTGTAAACTGAAAAAAGTGTTTTATTTATATATCCAAGTCACAAGATTTGTTATTGCTTTGTTTACTATTTTTAAGATTATTAACTCTCCATCCCAATAAAGGTTTGATCATTTCCCCCATCAAATGATCGTTGTACACGTAATCTCCTTTTTTAAATAAACTTCTGAAATCATCCATGCTTTGACCCCTGGCTTTCATTTTCAAATACAATAATGCATATTGTCCACATGATTGTGAGTTCATCTCTTGCAATGTCATGGCGTTACCTCTGATGATGTGAAAGTTTTCGCATACCCATTCGTACACATCAGATGATTTGTACCAATGCAATGGTAATCTGTAACTATCCATGATTTCGCAAGTGTGTTTTTTGGTGAAAATAGCCAACCAATGTGATCAGGGTTTATCGATAGGGTTGGTGTTGACGATGTAAGCTCTTTTTTTCCATAGTTCTGGCAATCCCGGTAATTGATCGGATGCAAACACTCCTGCAAAAATAGGCGCTAGACATGGATCTTGTTTGGTGAGATAAGATAATTGTTCTGTAGTAAATGGAACGAATTCCATGACCTCTTTTTTTTCTTCTTGTTCTTTTCTTACTGGATTCTTCCTGCAACCGTTTGACTGTAAATGTTGTACTGAGTACTACCCGTGGGTTTTATCTGCATCATGTTTTCGAATTCACCGTAGATGATGACGGTGATTAACGAATTGACAGCTGTCTTTGTAAAGGCGATTTTGACACGTCCTTCTTGTTTAGGGTTCAATTGTACACTGTCTGCACATCCAGAGGCGACATTATCCCACATGTATAATGTAGTATGATGATCATCTCCCCAATGTTCTGGTTTGATTATACATTTTCCTCGGTAAGCTGAACGATTGGCACTGATAAGTCTGTGATACCCTGACATGTCTAGTTGACCATTGGCTGCAATAAGTTGCAAAGGTTGATATGGGTACTCTTCCCCTTCCACAATCTGTTTGATGCTACTTACATTGAATTTCAGGAAATTGAAAGGGTTGTAGGCGTAATTGCCTGAGAAAGCATCTTGATAGACTAAACCCACCACCACACGGTCCGGGACTCTTCCGTTGAACATGTCTGTAGCTTCAAAGTTAGTGTGATTGTTTTGCAAGGTATAGGTCCTGATTTCTGATCTGATGGTGGGATAATAGACATCCAGATTCCTCTGCAGTCTAGCTGTGGCGATTTTATTGTACACGTCTGACCTGACTTTGACCATGCAGGCATAGAATTTCATTTTCAAATCACCGGCTTGTAACCTGACGTCAGTGTTTACCGTACCAATCCCATTCATGAAGAATTTAGGATCGTTGAGTGTAAACCTCATTTTGAGATCAACTCCCGGTATAAGCATTCTACCTGTATTGAACAAATCTACATGAGGTAACACAAACAATTAAATGGTTTTTCCTCCCGCGGTTTTTTCTTTCATTTCCACGAGTCTGTCGACTGCTTTTTTTTCGTTCTTTCGATAACGCTGTGTAGTTGGCATGAGGTGTGGCACTGTTGATTTGATTGACCGTCAGGTCATTAGGTGGATAATTTAGAGCTGAGTAATACCCTTGAGGTCTGAGAATCGTTTCCTCATCTTCTGTTCCATAATTGAGTATGGTTTCCAGATATGCTTTGTAAGCATACGTGTCTGTTTGTTCGGTGGTCAGAGTCCCATTCACGTAGATGGAAGGTTGTTTGATGATGGTGTGAAATTCGATATTATTTTATCTACTCTGATACAGATCACCTTACCAATTGAGAAAAAATTTTCTTCTCGTAGATGCCTAATTTGGTAATAAAAATGATGATGTGTTATTTGATGACAGCTGAACAAACAACACTAAGCGTGCGAGAAAGAATCGGAAACTACGCACCATTGTACGTTTCATATGACGCTGAACATTATGAAACTACATGGATGCAACAGCAATTAGAAAGAGCCAATAGAATATTTCATTTACACATTGATAGTGAAGCTTTATCGGTACGATTTCACGAAAGATTACTAGAACGATTAAATACATTTTAATTTTTTCATTTCTCTTTCTTTTTTTAGACTCACGACCTGATCTTAAAAGAAATACTCAAATTCTTATTACGTTGCGAATTGCATTCAAATCGTCATTTTTTATTAGAACAACAAATCATCTTTATATTCATGAGAACCATAAATATACAATATCGTGATATGACGGTTGACATTGATTTTGAAGAAGACAATTTCCAATTGAACAGCATCTTTGAATATTTATATTCCATGTACAGATTATAATACCGTCGTCAGTAAAAAATATATAATTTTTTCCTAGGCACAACAACAAGCTGAATTGTTGGTTTACATGTATTATTTTCACGTTAATATCCATAATAATTCTTCGTTTTAGGTTACTACTCCCATCTTAAAATGGTATGTATGTTTTGCACATCATTTACACGAAAAAATTTGTCACTATTCTGAAGCAACTCAAACACAACTTTGAAATGAAATGAATGCTTTTACATTAAATCATTCAGATTTTGAATTAGTACTTTTGGATAGAATCATACGAAGTACATTATCGTTATAATTATTTTTTCAGATCGGTATATATCCTGAAACAAATCCTTGGTTTTATCTTTATCTTTATCAAATGAGACGATTGATTCCATAGGATAATTTTCTATCTTTTGTATTTTTTCCAGATGCAAACTAGAACGTTGTATTCGATTGTCTTTTTTAAAGAAGTAATTTGCAAATTGACGGATTTTTGTATATAATGGTTTCCATTAGTCGAGTTATGTTCGTGCGAAGTGATGGGAAATCTTCAATATAGGCACATTATGTTATACATTTACGCCACTGAATCGGATTACATCAATTACAACCTTCGGTATAAAGAAGTATCGAGTAATAATGTAAACACATTTAAAATACGATGGGTAAAACCCGATGATGAAGAAGTGCGTGTTATTATCGATACTATTTTAAACTAAGATTTTTTTTATTTTTTCAGATGCAAACTAACCTCTTGGTTTCACTTAGAAATATGAGTCGTTTTTTTATTATGATGATCGGTAATAAAAACTTTTTAGATATTTCTGAATATTTTATCTGTTTTTGATCAAGATTTATGGTTTTCGTTGTACGAATCTGATACAGCTAGTTACTTTATTTGTTCTAATATAGTCAATCCTATTTCTCTAGGTACAGTCTTAGAAATCAACTTTGAACAACTTTCTGTTTATCTTTGATTTTTTTCGGTTCGATTTCGTGTTTCAAAAAAGTTTTCTACTTGTTTTTCAACAAATTATCGATCATCTCGATAACGACTTATTCGAAAACCAAGACACGTGAACTTCACTCACGATTCATATCTATTTAAATAGACCTCCATATGATTCCATTCTAGATTTAGGTATCATAGAAAGAAACATTAGAAGACTTTTATATCGTTTTCTTCCTCTTCCTATATATGATTTGTTTGAATTTTTTTCTATTCAAGTTCATTTTGAAGCGTGTGAACCATATCATGTTGAAAGAGTTGAAATCACCGCGTACCTAGTAGTTATTTAGTTCCTCTTTTTTTGTTTTTTCAGTTTGATTTCAAGATTAATTTGAAAGAATTAAAAGACTTTTTATACATAATTCAACTCTATGTAGAAATACGTGATTATTATGCTGGTACTCGAATGTGTAACTCTGTCAGGTTAATCATTCATGAACAAGGTCCTAAGGTAAATTGGTAAGTTGTAAATGAAACAAGTCGAAATTGCCATTCCGT